GAAAAACTCGTGTTTATTATATCTTCGATATACTCTTTATGAGTACTAGAAACAAATTCGACAAAACAAACATGCGACAAAACAAATCTTCGGATTTTCACTTTCGGGATTTATTATCAGATGTTATAGCGTCCATACTGAAGCCATTTTATTGTTGCTTCTTTTCGACGGGAAAGATTTGTTTTTACGTTCAGAGCTTCTCTAACAGTCGCTCTGATGAATCGTGTTAGATACGTGAAATCAAATCTGAACTGTCTTTTAAAATTTGTAATTAATTATCTGAAGGATTTATGAATTCGTAGGAATTATATAATAGGGACCATTGTATATATCTAAGGTGTTAGTTAGTAAGAGTATAAGTCAAAAACTATTACTTTTCGGGAGAGGGTGTACAAGGTTTAAATTGACTATATTTTCATTTCATTTTATGGATTTTGTTGAACTGTCGAATATTTCGTGTTATAAACATACAATTAATAGATTTTAATAGAGTAATAATGAAAATTATATTTGGATACTAAAATATTTGACTTATAGTACAAAAACCTAATCAGATGTCGACTTATACTCTTAAGATCTTGACTTATACTATTGAGACACTGTAATTTGGGAAGCTAGAATTGATTTGTACTTAACGTCGTCGCTGTCGCTCGCTTAATAACTTGTTAATATTTTTATTAAAATTGAAAATAAATAATTACGCATGATTATAAAGTTTATTGATTAACGAGAAAGGTATTATAAATTTTTATTAACATAACATTGTGTTTTTATAAAAAAATAAAAAATGAAATAAAAATGCTATTTTAAAAGTCATCTTCATCGTAACCTTCAATATCAGGTAGTGTATTTTTTATATTTTTGGCAGTTTTTAAGTTTTTGTATAAGTCGTGAAAAGTTGGACTTATCAGTTCAAGTAAGGACATCAAATCCTTTTTTTTTTCTCCACTGAAATTGGAATAGGTCCTGAGTAACATGGCTTGGGCTGCATTTCTTTATTTACATCAATTTTCCTTCGATTCAAGCTCATTTTTCTAAATGGTGCATTTTCATCAAGTGTACACTTGAAAAAAATTGTTGCTCTCTCCTGGGTATACCGTAACCATCTAATATTCCACTTGAAGGGAACGCCGTCAGCATCAGTTTTTTTTATAAATAGACTTGTCTTAAGAAGACTTGCATAGTCAAGGAATTCATTATTCTGTACCTCAATTACGTTAAATTTTTGTTTTTTTCCTATTCCCCTTACTAACTGGTACCAATCATGGGGATGTGAAATTGGTACATTTAACAATTTCTTTTGTTTTTCGATCATACCATGATCAATATCACATTCCAGGTGACTGTGACCTGGTACCATGAACTTGTGGTCTACCGTAGTTAGTGACGCTTTCTTTTGCATTAAACACAGAAACATAGCTGCGACATGCGTGTTTCGATTTTGACCACCGCATGAATCGGAATACAGTGTAACATATTGAACGCTTTCCGATAACCCTAATAGTTCCTTTGATATGCAAGTACCAATTTGGTTCGCTCCTCTTCCTCCCTCAGCTTCATGCCACATATAACACGACACACTTCCTGATACGCATTCGTGTATAGTAAGATTGAAGGTCCACAGTTGTCTTTTATAGAAAGCCACATTTGTATTTAAAAACGGTGTTGGCAAACACTGTTGCAAGTCGAAAGTGTAACACCTCTTACTCTTAGTTATGTCATTCGCAGCAATTTTTTTATCTGTATCTTTCATAACATAGGCATTATCTGCTTCCTGGTGATGTTGATCTAATTCGGCTTTTAATAAAATTGTATCATCTTCAGAAGCGAACTTCATTTTTGTTGCCAGAACATCGCATTTATAACATTTATCCACCTTAGGTTGCTTAAAAGAAAGCTTTAATTTACGAAACTCTCGTGCATAGATGGTATGGCACACAGGAGAACTTACGACATCTTTATACATATTATACAAAATTGTTATATTTAAATGAAATGAGGTTGAATGCTCGAATAAATGAACTTTGAAAATAAGGCTATTATCGAGCACAAGTTAATTAAATCAAGCCCAAGTACCTTCGCTTTAAATAGCATCTTCAGGGGCATTTCGTCAAAATAAGAACTATCCGGCAAGCGTAGGATGTGGAAACATTAAAAACTAACATAAATTATACAAAACACTACAATAAAACACTACACTACACATTACTGTAGTGTTTTTGTATAATTTATGTTAGTTTTAATGTTTCCACATCCTACGCTTGCCGGATAGTTCTTATTTTGACGAAATGCCCCTGAAGATGCTATTTTAAGCGAAAGTACTTGGGCTTGATTTAATTAACTTGTGCTCGATAATAGCCTTATTTTCAAAGTATATTTAAATAAGACGGTAAATATTTCTTATCAGAAGTGCGTCTGGTATAATGGGACTCATACGAAGGGAAAGACAAAATATGTTTGTGAACTTCATTCAACTTTTTAAGTGGGGTTTTACTAGCAGTTGGATCTTTTCCTCTTTCGTCGGTCCCGAGAATTCCATTGACAGGAGACGTGACGCTGTTATTAATAGTAAGGGTCACAAACATTTGTGTTTCGTCGAGGGTTTTCATAAAACACTCTCGGCACACTTTAATTTGTTTTCCATTTACTTTAAAATGGAAAGAGTGTGTGAACTTCCTACATTTCTCTTTGTCGATATCTGATGTTCTCTTTCTTGATGTTTTGGGTATATCAGACTCAACAAGACTACTTACAAATGTGGCCCTTTTATCCCTGCTACCAAGAGACCAATAATTATTGAATATATCTTGCCTGACTGAGTCATCTAACTTTTCAGCACAGAGATTTCGACACTTCGTTAGCGGTTTCATTTCTCGCAACCGCACTTTTTTTCCATCTAAAGTAGTATAACTTTTGCCACTGTTTCGTTTTTCATACTTCTCCTTCCTCATGTTCCTAGTAAATTTAGGTTCACTTATTTTTTGTTTTTTTGTTTTGTGTTCGTTGGATGACCTTAATAATTTGTGTTTTAAGGTAGAGGGGCCAGCAATTTAATGAGTAACATTCACTTCATCATCCATCAAATTTTGCGTATCTGTATTTTGTAGTGTAAAACTTGCATCTTGTTGAACTAGACGATCACCATTCACCGCTAATTCAGGTTGATTTTTTTCTTGATTAGGTATTAATAACAATTCTTCATCAACGTTCAGTAATGTAAGGTCAAAATCCCCATCGTCGGTGCCTTCTAAATGAATAATTCCATTGTCCCTGTTACCTAAAATAAATCAAATAGCCAATGCAATATTCATAATCCGCAACCATGTAAGTATAGTTCTTTTCAAATTATTTGGTAAATGACCAATTTTTAATGTCACAACAGTGACCTACCTAAACAGGTAAGAATTTCTACTAGGTTCTACTATTCAATTATTATAATATTTCATGTATATGTTTACTTTGCTGCTACTTGACGTAAAACACTGGGATAAGGGAATTAAGTCATTTACCCAATAATTTGAACAAAACAATAAATTGATTTATGACAAGATGTGAGAAATATTACCTTCACTGGTTGTATTGCTAGTGTTTTGTTCTTCAATAAGATTATTATTACTGTTGATTGTTATTACGTTTTGGTCAACACTTGTATAATCAGTGATACTTTCTAAAATAATAAAAAGTTTTTACTACAGAATAGATACAAATGCTGTAATTCGGGCTCATACATTATAAAGTTAAATGCCTAAACCACACTAGTAATAAAACATACATACCTACGACAATCACTTCAGCAGATGAAATATCCATTAGTTGGATTACATTTGTTTCAGTATTTTCGGGTTTCTCTTCTGCAAAAATATAAACATAATAAATTGCATGGTTGTGGGTAATATGGCGTAGCAATCGTAACGTAAATAAAAACTTTCCTACCTTTTTTATTACTTGCTATTGAACCCTTATTTACTTCATGAAGAAGACCCATAATTTTATCGGTTCTCTTTACAAAATAAGACATTTTCTAAACCACACTTAGTAGTTTAATTCTAATTATATATTAAAACAAATAACACGAACAAAACGATGTAAACAAATACAATGCACGTGTGTATTTGAGGTTAACTTGTAATCTGCAATCAATGACGTATAATATAGACTACGCAGTCCCCTATTCTCGCTATAGAATCGAGTGTCCGAAAGATCTCGGCTCAAGGTTGAAGGTATGTTTATTAGAACAGCGGCGTGCACATTTATATGTTAATGACAATAATTATATTTTTAATTAAAATTAAATATTTATGATTTCTTTTTGTTCCCGTCTATAAGAGAAATAATTATTTTGATAAAATAGTATGGCATTTTACTAAAATAGTAAGTAAATAACTATCAACAATTTAAAATAAAATTTGCTTGTCACACAAAATGGAGTACGTCCATGATGTTTTCAAACACAAGATCAACTTCGTGATGCTTCGTAAGAAATCATGAACTTCGTGCATCTTCGTATCAAAACAATAAACAATAACAAAGGTATTCATGTTTTGGACACTTTTTAAAGCGTTCACCGAGTCTATATATTATACGTCATTGTCTGCAATACACAAATCATTGGTGCCAACAGTACAAGTCAATAATATGAGTGTCAGACAAACTGCACCTAGTAGTATAAGTTGACTTGTACTATTAATACATATTGAAATCAAATAAGCTAAAATTTGTTTTTTCGACTTATACTCTTGGGAACATGAAGAAAAATAGTTAGGCTGTACGACCAGTGACAAAAAAAAATGAATTTTTTGACTTATACTCTTAGTAACTAACACCTTAGATATAATATATATTATATATATATATATATATATATATATATATATATATATATATATTATATATATATATATATATATATATATATATATATATATATATATATATATATATATATATATATATATATAATGTCCCCTTTTGGTTGAAGTATAAATACAGTCCTGTTCTAGATGCGGTAAGTGCCGAAGATATATGAAATACATTCAAGCAAAACCGGCGAGGTTGCACTGTCCACAATGTGATGAAACCTACAGTCTTCCCCAAAATGGAACTATCAAATTATTTAAAGAATTGAAGTGTCCACTGGATGATTTTGAGTTATTATGTTGGACCATGGGGAACAAAGGAAAGAGCTTCGTATTTTGCCCTTATTGTTATAATAATCCTCCGTTTAAGTAAGTATATCAGAATAAATTTTGTTTTTGATCAATTTCACAGATATTTTTTTTAATATTATACTTCAAAAAAAGAATCAAATACGTAAAGAAGAGCATACAAAACTTATTATTTTTATATGTTGAAAATATGCATCAGAGCTACTTACGTGCAGATTGTTTATAATAATCATGCAACATAATATAAACTGGTTATCTTCTTTTTTCTATGCCGTCCCCATTAACGGAGGTTGGCGACTACATTTCTAAAAGTTTCTTTGTCTTTTGCAACGTGAAATGAGAATCTTTTAACGAAAACTGGTTATAAGAACCGACAATGGCACTTTTTATTGAGGTCGCTTAATGTTTAATTTAAAATTACGAACATATGCAATATGTGATTTTGAATAAATTAGCAATTGGTTGAAAATAAAAAGGTATACATGTAAACAAAAGAAAATATCTAGCGTAAGTCATAAATGTTATCTTGTACAAACAAAAGCACTTACTCTTTGAGTATGGTGTATGGCAGCTTCTGACATAAGATTCGGCGTCGCGATACTGTACAGGGAGTCCCAAATTGGTATGTTTTACAGTGTATACCATAAAGTAGATAACCAGATAGATCACATCCTGATAGATGCAAGGCACTCTTCCGATCTCATAGACGTCAGAAGCTACCGAGGCCCAAACATTGACAGTGACCACTTTCTAGTAATGGCAAAAATTAGAGGAAGAATATCAAACCTAAAGAAAGATAAACACACGAAACAAGACAGAGATAATGTTGATAATCTGCGCATTGAAACCGTTGCGAGAGAGTATAGGAGACAAATGGACGAGGAAATGGAGAGCCTATAGGTGGGGGAAAATGTAGAGGAACTGTGGACAAAATGTAAAAACATAATAACTGAGAAAGCAACAAAAATATTGGGGAATACCAAACCAGTTAAAGAAAACGAATGGTTTGACAAGGAGTGCCAAGAAGCAACAGATAATAAAAACAGGGCATACCTAAAGACAAATCAAGCTGGATGCACAAGAAGAGCAAAGAAAGAATACCGGAGACTAAGAAGAGAAGAAAAACGATTACATAGAAGAAAAAAGCAAAAGCAATTGGAAAGCACAGAATGGCTAAGAAATCAAAATGAAACTCGAAAGTTCTACAGAAATTTAAACAAAATGTGCAAAGAGTTTAAGCCAAGAATAAGGAGCTGTAAGGATGTAGAAGGAAACATCCTAAATGATACGGCCTCAATCCTAAACAGATGGGTTGAATTTTTCGATGCAAAATTATTGCATCATATCGAAGGAGCAGATAACACCCTAGCAAATCGAAATGATTGGAATCCTTTCAACCCAAACGAAAGACCACCTACCATCGAAAACGTTGCCCAAGCCATTAAAAAGCTTAAAAATAATAAATCATCAGGAGTTGATTAAATTTGCAGTGAGCTCTACAAGAATGGTGGCGATGCCCTACTACAGACACTGCATAAGCTTTTACTTCTTGTTTGTCATAATGAGACCATGCCTTGTGAATGGTCTCAAGGCGTGATATGCCCGTTCCATAAAAAAGGTGACCAGCTCCAGTGTGACAACTATAGAGGTATAACCCTGTTAACAACTGCTTACAAAATACTAGCAAATATTCTCTACGAAAGGTTGCAAGTTTACACAGTGGGCATAGTTGGTAAATATCAAGTTGGATTCACTCAAGAAAAATCAACAATTGACCAGATTCATTCAATAAGACAGATTCTCGAGAAAACATTAGAATTCAATATTGAAACCCATCACCTATTCGTCGACTTCAAGGCCGCCTACGACAGTGTCAAGAGAACAGTGCTATACCAAGCAATGCATGAGTTTGGTATACCAGAGACTTATCCGACTAACGAGAATGACAATGTCTAACTTAGAAGCCACTGTTAGAATACAGGGAGAGAGTTCTAGATCCTTTGAGATAAAGGATGGACTCAGACAAGGAGATGCTCTGGCTTGCCTCCTATTTAATATTGCCTTAGAAAAGGCAGTCCGAGATATACGAATTAGGGATGGCGGTACTATTTACAATAGATCGGTACAAGTCTTAGCATATGCTGATAACATTGACATAGTAGGGCGTAAAAAGCGAGATGTTGAGCAATATCTCCTAGAATTGGAAACAGCGGCGAAACAGGTTGGTCTAGTCATCAACGAAGACAAAACCAAGTACATGTTGGTTACAAAGGATCCGATAGCAAATGAGGAACGATAGTCTTTGAAAGTCATACCTTTGGACGTGTTGACAACTTCACATACCTTGGGTCGCTACTGACTGCTACCAATAAAACAAGCGAAGAAATCAAAAGACGAATAAATCTTACAAATAGGGCATACTATGGACTCCAAAAGCATTTCCACTCAAGAAACATTCAAAGAAGAACTAAAATTATTATATACAAAACATTGCTGAGGCCGGTCCTCACATATGGAGCAGAAACATGGACTCTAACGCAGAAAGATGAAAGACTTTTGGGAATATTTGAGCGTAAAATACTCCGAAAAATATTTGGAGCTGTAAACGACCAAGGGCAGTGGCGCAGAAGATATAATTTTGAATTGTATCAGCTCGTTGATGAGCCAGATGTCATAACGTTCATTAAAACACAGCGAGTTAGATGGGCTGGACACATAATACGAATGCCAGAAAATACCATTGCTAAAAAGCTAACCACAGGAACAGCTGTAGGAAGAAGAAGCAAAGGCCGACCGCGAATTAGGTGGTTAGGTGGAGTAGAAACCGACTTACGAATATTAAAAATCAGAAGATGGCAACATGTTGCCAAAAACCGAACAGAATGGTGACGAATCTTAGAGCAGGCCAAGATCCACAGAGGATTGTCGAGCCAAAGATGATGATGATGACCATAAAGTAGAGGGGGTAACAAAAAATAATTAAGATGTCATGACTTCTCTTTTCGATTACCTAATCAAATCATCAATCGCTCCACACATTAGCGGGATACAGGATTATTGAAAAATGTGGAAAACGACAGGGTTAAATATCTTCTTTATTAAGAAAAATTTTAAAAAACGTTATTAAAACTTTTGATAGATATATTATGGAAGCGTTCAATGGCGTACAAGAATTTTTTAGGGTAGAATTTTTTAGCTTCGACAATATATATTTTTTGCATTGTTTTAACTTAATTTACATAATTGAATTTGATCATATCACGTCCAATTTTTTAAATTGATTTCTCTCTTTTACCATTTTTACTGTCAATATTTTATTACCTATATAAATATTTTGATATTTTCTCAACTGATTACTTTTATCATTTATTAAAATTTTATTACATTTTTATGATTTTTACTGATTTTTGGGAATTGTGTTTTTTCAATTTTTATCATCCTTTCCAACTCATTTCTTTTGTTCTACTATCGTTTTTTAATTTTATTATCAATAATTTAACTTGTTTACGATTGATTTTGTTTAAAACCAAATAGATCATTCTCTTCTTTAAATCTAGATCATTTCTACTGTATCGATATGTTTAATTTTTGTTTGCATTGTCTTCTTTTTCATTATTGTTCTTTAATCATTAAATTATCGACCTCAATAAGTTTTACACAAAACAGCCACCGAGGTGGAAATAATTGATGATGCATTATATATATCTGCCAAAAAATAAAGACTCGTCTTTAAATCACCATGAAAATATAAAAAGTACAATTTCAAAGTCACAGTTTGAAAAACTCTTCTTCCCCAAACTCGTCAAGATTACTCAGATTTGCTATACTACTGTAACAAACCACAAATCCAAAAAAAAATTGTGTGAAGATGTGTTTTTTGAATATGTATATACTAAGAAGTAGTTGCTTACAGTAAAAAATATCAAAAAGAATGTGTTACTGATAAATGTGCTCCCAATAATGGATAGCGGATGACTTAAAGGTCCTAAAAGGTTCTCCAAAGAAATATTCTTCTTCTCTTTGTCTGTTTTTCAATGTGTCTCCAGTAAATTGTTGTTCCATCGTTTTCGAGGTCTTCCTATTGGAGATCCGTCTCTCGCCGTCTTTACTGCTGTATTTCTTGTCATTTTTCCTTATATGATAGTTCCAATCTACTCTTCTATTTCGTACCCAGTCCGTAATGTTCCCCACTTTGCATCTCCGTCGTATATCAGTACTTCTAGCTCTGTCTCATAGTGTCTTACCATGTCTTTTTCAATTCTGCTGTTTCTAATAATAATACAAAAGATGTATACAATATTTACTCTTCTTATATTTAATTTATTTTTTAGAGATATGAGGAAAGGCAATGGCTGCAATTCTTGTTCACATCCCACATGTCCATACAGTTTAACGTCTAATGGAGTATGTAATTGTGCGGAATGTGAATATGGAGTATTAGTTTTGGATCCGTCGTCTGGCCCGAAATGGAAGTTAGGCTGTAATAGGTAAGACTTTAATATTCTAATATTTATATATACACTGTTCCAAGAAATTAAAGCACCAATTAATATTTTTAGAAAAGTATCAGTATTTTAAATAAACTGTACAATATTGTACTCTATTTTGAAAGTTCCCTGTATAATATTTATTGTAACAAGTCCACTGTAGAATGTTAAATTTTTCATCTTATTAGTATTTTTTTAAACTCCGTTAGTGGTCAAGTCAGCTTAAGGTTTGATTTTTACGTGTTTAGCAATACTTTTGTTTAAACTATTAAGATGCAATGAGAATCCAGAAATACGACAACTAAGGAATATGCTCAAGCCGTTTTATTACAAGAAGGTTGGAGTTATCGGTGACTAGGTGAAAGATTCGGTGTGTTCCATACATCAGTATCGCGAATGGTTGAACGATACAGGATAACTGGTAAAAATACTAGAAGAGCTGTGCAAGGCTGAAACCGTGTCACCACCCCTGCTCAAGATCGTTTGATAAGGTTTTGGCACATATGGCATAACGCAAGTGGCATCCACATATGCCTGGAAATATTCCAATAATGTTTTTTAGAAGACAATTTGCATCCTCACAATGCTTCCCAAGATTCAGCATTAACAAGAGGTCATCGTAGAGCACGGGTAAATTTTGACAACAAACGTAAATTGGGAAGAAGCCGAATGGGACCAAGTTCTGTGGTTATTAGCAACAAGCACGGACTTGACGGTATTAAATAATGGAAATCTTACTGCTCAGCGCTATATATGGGATAGTCTTCAAAATCATGTAGTGCCTTTTGTCCCTTATATTGGTCATTTTTTTTTAATTGGATGACAATGGAATTAGGTAGTTCGAAACTACCTCTTGAAAATTGACATTAAAACAATGGGCTGGCCAGCACGTAGTTCCGACCTTAATTCCTTAGAGCATTTTTGGGGTATGTCTTTTTGGAAATTGCAGAACTTTGTGTACTTTTAAATACTTAAATTTTTTTTACTGAGGTACTTATAGAACTGAATCGGTACCAATAGGTAGGAAAAGGAATGCTCAATCAATTAAAATAATTATGTACTAAAACTATTTTGTACTAAATTAATTATAAAATTCCGCTCCTTTCGGAGATTGGAAATCATTCTGGCAATTATAATTTTGTTTGTTATGCCCCTGAATACCTGAAGTATTCCAAGTTCGGTGCATTTAGTATTTGTTGTAAATTTTCGACACCGTTTCCTATGATTACTGTCTTTTATCAATCTAGGTTTTTACCATAACCTTTGTTTTTCTATATTTTCACCAAGAATTATTAAATATTGAGTATTAGAGAAGAGATTAGAAAAATATGCATGACAAATAAAATATATAAAGGACTTGTCAAACACTTTGGATTTGATAACAACAGTAAGTACAAAATGTAAAATTTACAAGACATGAATCTGACCAGTCCCAACATATGGATCAGAAACAATGACACTGCCAAAAAGCGTTGAGAAGCTTCTAGTGACGTACGAACGAAAAATTTTATGGCATATATACAAGGGAGTGCGAGAAAACAACCTATGGCGAAGACGATGCAACTTTGAATTGTACAATGCACGTAAAGAACCAGATATTACAGCGCTGACTATGAATAAGAATTATAAGACTGCGCTGGATGAGTCACGCAGAACGGATGCAGGAAGAACTAGCCCCCAAGGAAATCAATAGGCAGGTCCCAACGGGAAGAGGACCAAAAGGAAGACCGAGGCTAAGATATATAGAGCAGATAGAACAAACTAAAAAACTTATTTCAAATCCTTTATAAAAGGTATATAATAAAATGCCCAAACGGGCTATCACAATTACATTACAACAGAACGTTTTCGGATTGTTAAATCCATCATCAGTGTAAACAGGGTATACATGCTATGAACCCTCAAAATATATGGGTCAAAACCCTTTAAATGTTATAAATTTACAGTTGTTTTACATTATATATAGTTACAAATTCGGATGTTTAAGTTACCGTTGGAATTGGTAACATGGCGACGTATAACCCTACATAGGTAAAATGGTCCTGAGACGAAGTGTCTTCGAGGACCTGTTGATAACAACTAGTCAGTTGGTAATCAACTAGTCAGTTGTTATCAACTGTAACAGGAACGAGAGCTTTTAAAAGACATCTTATACTTTTCTGTTGGAATAGTCTTCACAACAGGCGTCCGGATTGAACCGCGTCGATTATTACTCCACCGAGCTTTCGACATCCTCTCTGATATCTTCTTCATGGTTTCCGAGGTCTTAGTCTCCCAAGCCCCCAGACTTAACCTAACCTAACCTAATCCCTTAGGTATAAAAGGCATGTAATTTATTTTTTATATGTAGTAACTTTTGATTCCCTTTTCATATATAAAGTTTTTGTTTGTAATGTTTATAAAATAACTATATAACTTATCTTTAAATATACATTCAAGATTGTTGGTAATGATGGTTTGGTGTTTAAATAGTAAAAAGTACCTGCAGTTTAATGAGGCATCTTGATTGTTTATTTCAAGACGTAAAAAACTATCATAAGTTTTAAAATACATAAATATTACGAATGTATGTAAAAATTGGAATATTCCACATCATTCCACATCAAGACTTCAACTAACGTTGAAGTTATGAATATAAACGAGACTGGTATCATGACACACGAATTTCTAATTTAAATTTATTCAATTATATTTCTTATCGTATGAATACAATTATCTGGTAATCTATATTATGCTCAAATAGATCGTCAAGACAGGAAGTTTGACTACCATTATGATTATTACCTCTGTTACGACTGTTTTCAAATTTACCCTTGATACAACGGTTAAATTGGACTAGAACACTAAGTTTGTTAGGTTAGGTTCTATGTGAGTGACGCTTAACGATTCTTACACTCGACCTAAGAGGCCCATCCCTAGTTTAAACTTGCCCTTTATGACTTCACATTCTTCTTCACATTCTTTCGTCATTCTTTGTAACACCTCTATATTAGTTACTTTTTCAATCCACGATATTTTGTGGACTCTCCTGTAGTACCACATCTCAAAGGAGTTTAATTTTTTGATTTCATACTGTTTTAATGTACGGCTTTCATGCCGTATAGTAAAGCAGAAAAAACGTAACAACGTAGCATTCTTGTGCGGATCTCTAGATTAAGGTTACGGTTGCAAAGTAAGTTCTTTTCTAAGTATTAGTTCCGACAGACACATCTCGACAGCATAAAATTATGCTTGGAAGATAGTGAGTTCTTTCACAAGACTTTTCTTTGTTTACCTCAGTATATTTAAAGTCTAACTCCTTTATGTGTTTCAGAGCTCTCGGTGTACCAGACACTGGGTTTGTGCAACATTTTTAAATTAAAACCGCTATATCATCCAAAAAACCTTCGTTTTTTAATCAAGTAATGAATGATTTTTTTAGCAAGTGTTAAAATTGGTAAACTTTTTGCAAGACATGTTTTTTTTAACTCACAAATAGAGGTAGGAAGACATGTTCACGTATGAGTTCACATTCATCAATAATTCTTTGTCACAAGTTTAAAAAAAATCACCTCAAATGTTCAAAATGCTCGCAGTTCACATCCTAACAATGTGTAAGCCTATTAATTTATTTACTAGTCTAATGAGAATAAAAACGTAAATTCGTGTCTTGACATTTTTTGTATTACATTATAGTAAGAAGTAAAGAGTACTATTTAGTAGGTAATTTTTGACACACCAATTGACAGAAATATTGTGTAAATTAAAAATATTAATGATGATAGATTATGGTGATAGTGTTAGAGCTCATGATGAAGTGTGTAATATTTTTAAAAAAGAGGTTAATCTTTGTAAATGGGTATATTTATTTAAAAAACCCTTAAAAGGGCCACATCAATAAAACAAACGTTTTCGGACCACACAGTCCATCATCATTTAAGAAAACAAAATCAAGACTTAAGATGAAAGATATGTTGCTGAAAAATTGGAAGATCGGGAAGGACATGAAAATTCCAGTTTATACGATTGACGACCCCTCCTACACAGCAGTGAGGACTGTTTATTTCAAGGTGCACTACAGTAGGAAAGGTACCTATCCTTCAAAACTATTAGAGACCTCCACCATACTAAGATAGCTTCGGCAGAACTTACTGTTGTTATTAAAATATTCAATGTAGCTTTGATACAAGAACCCCGGATTTATACAGGCAAAATAAGAAGTCTAGCAGGCATTGGTGGAAGGCTTATATAGGTATAGCTGATCTGCCGGAATCCCAAGGAACTCAAAACAGTGCCGTTGATGAATCCTTGTTCTCAGAATTTAACGACAGTAAAGATGAAGACCATAGAGGGATTAGGTATGATGGAGATAATTCTTAGATTAGTATATCTCCCATATGATGATCTCGAACAACTACCACTAAGAGTTGGAAAAACTACTAAGAGATTGGAGATTGAGACAATAATTGGTCATCGACTGTGATGCGTTGTACGCGATCCGACCTGGAGCAGTACAAACACCGTTAAAAGAGGTGAGCCATTACTAACTACTGAATACCATATAAGTGTATTTCCCATTTCAAAATACTTGAGCTCCCTTAATATTAATTGTTGTTTTTCTTTAGGAATAAATTGGCGTTTTTGACATACGTATTTTAATTGTTACAAAAATCTAATAAACAAAAAACTTGAAAACCAAAACCTTATCGTAAACTTAAAAACAACACTATCCGACATTGAATATTGCATGTCTAGACGTCATGAAAGCGTCGTTCGTACTAAAAGACAGTTCTCAATTTGCACGATTCAACTTTTTATAGACTGAGCGTATTCTAAATGATAAACAATAAAACAAGTGTACATAAATAAGTATTGTAAATATATGAATATACAGAGATGGTATAAAGTATGGAACCAAGACAATATCTTAACGAGAATGAAAGAAACGAAAGAGACGATATTCATGAAAATTTTTATGCATGTACAATGACACATCAGATGCCATATTTTCTGGTACTTCT